CTGTAGAGAACGGAGACCAAGTCGCACTCAAGGAACTCACAGATCCACAACAGTGCCTCGCTGCTGGCTTCACAGCTGAGCAGTGCTTGAAGATGGGGGATAAGAAACCCGCAGTCGCCATGGTTGCCTCAGCAGAAGGTCCACATATGCCCGTACCCCGTCTGGACGTGGCCTTGGATGTGTTGAACTGAAAGCTCTATTGGATAAAACTGCACGGTTTAAACAAAGAAATGCAGCACAAGTCGGTTCGTGGCGTGCCCGTGATGTCTGTACACCAGGAGAAACCGTTGGCACCTTCCGAACGAGCGTAGGCGTGGTCAGCTTTGTCGTTTTTCTTCCGCCTTGCAAGTTGTTGTGGGGTTTTTCTCGTTTACTGCATCATGTGTTCAGTCAGAGCCCGTTGTTAGGTTTAAAGTGAAGATGTTGGGAGTGGGTAGGGCAGTGGATATACACCCGAAGCCCCACGAAAGTGAGTCTGTCCGACTGCGAGTTGAGTGTCTGTCCGTCCGTTTGCTTCCTACATGCATTCAAATGTAGCGGGGTAAGGTGGGTGGCTGTTGCTGTCGGTATTGCCGTAGCAACAGGTGCAGCAGCGGCTGCAACCCCAGCCAGAGAGCAGCTTCAACTGCTGTGCAGCAGAACGTACACGTTTCATATCCGAAGATGCAGCGTCGACAGTTTTCGTACAGTTAAAGTATCAAACATNGCAGAACGTACACGTTTCATATCCGAAGATGCAGCGTCGACAGTTTTCGTACAGTTAAAGTATCAAACATGAACTTCTTTCTAAGTGGTAGTGTTTATGGAATATTTGCATGCAGAGCAGAGTAGGGTGTAATCGTACATAGATATCGACGCCGGGAGTAGCAGGTAGTACAGATAGCTTAGCATGTATTCGTCTGGAGACGACGATGAGCAACGCAGGAGAGGAAACAAAAGGGATGCAGCGGAGTTAGACAGTTCAGCTGTAGGGGTCAGCGCAACGTAAGTATGTTGCGTATTGCACATATATATATATATATATATATATATATATATATATATATATATATATATATATATATATATAT